ACGCACTGCGCAGGCGTCGCCTCCAGCCGGGCCGAGGGCTCGGCATTGGGAGGGCCCAGGAGGTGCGAGCGGCCTCGGGAGGCCTGGCCTGTGTGCTCGGTGACAAACTGGTGCAGGGTGAGGCTCCCAAGGTGCTGGGGTTGCGCGGGGGGTGGGCTGTCCTGAAGCCTTGGGTGGGCTCCTGCCACTCCATCGGGAGCAACGTCCCTGGCAAGAGTGGTCATTTCCAGGCTTAAAGTTTGGGTGACCAAAAAAAAAATAAAATAAAATTATTAATTGCCAGATGGAGGAGAATCTAAAGGAGCCATACAGTGAACTCTGTTAAACATCCAGAAGTTGCTTCCTTAACTGGGCCCACTCCTCATCCCAGGAAAAACAGAGTGACCCACACATCCTGGGACTGGAAGACCTTCAGCAGCTGGGCCAGGGGCAACTTCCATCAGCTTGACTTCTCCCTCTGCCTCTTCTGACTGGGCTTTCCTTGAACTCAGTGTCTGTCTGGGGAGCCAAGCGTGGAGCCATGGGAGGTAGAGGGAAGCTACAGGGATGCATTTGCAGGCCTTGGCAGCCTGGAGTGGGCCACGGGAACTAGAATCAATAAAAGCTCTTACGTGGTTACGTGGTGTTGATTGTCACAGTCTGCTCTGGGTTCCAGGACACAGAAGGAGGTGTGGGGTGGTCTTCAGCCTGAGTGGTATGGTGGGGGAGGGGGGGGAAGGGAGCAGGGACCGGAGGGAGTTCCAGAACCTGAGAGCACAATCCTGAGAGTGATCTCACGGCAGGCCCAGGATTCTGGAACCTGGGCTGCCTGATGGCCCTATATGAAAAATGTAGTAGGGAAAAGGAGTGACAGCTGGCTGAAGGGGCCCCCCCACAACCCTCCTCAGCACCCTCGGAGAGCAGCCTCCCTCCGCTGGTCCCAGGGTGCCGTGGCCATGGAGAGTGCGGCGGCCTCCTCGCGTTTCCACCAGCCTCACATGGAGAGGAAGATGAGCGCGATGACCTGTGAGATCTTCAATGAGCTTAGGCTAGAGGGCAAGCTCTGCGACGTGGTCATTAAGGTCAATGGCTTTGAGTTCAGTGCCCACAAGAACATCCTCTGTAGCTGCAGTTCCTACTTTAGGTATAACAGGGTTACCGAACTAAGCCAAAGGGAGGACGGGGCTCATTCTGAGACCTTTTAATCTATTTTGTTTCTCACTCCACCGTCGTAAGTTTAGGGACACTATCAAAGCTCTGGGTCCCTGTAGCCTGGCTCCCTTGTCTTCTGAAGACACACAGCTAGGGGCAGAGCCTCTTTTCTCTGATTCTCAACTGGATTTCAACCAACTATTGGTGGGCCAGGTGCTTTCTTCTTTGAATCCCACCCAAACCAACCTT